ATAGGCCAGAACATAACTTCTTTTAGGTTTATTCTAAGGCAACAACATGGAGTGGTCCAAAAGGCTCTCCTTTTCCAGACTCCTCCCATCTGAAAATATCTTCAGCTTTTCCTTCTCCTTTTTGAAACTTGCTTTCAGGACAGAAGCTGAGAAAAATTTAGGGTAAAGCAAATAATGAAGGGTGAAATAACTCATAAAACATAACGTGTTTTGCCTCCCAGGGAAATGTATATCTATACCAAGCTGAGAGAGGCAAAGTATAAGTCCTTACTGGATATCCATCAATGAAGCCAAAATGGTGTGAGGTGTTTTTTCCCTTTTACTTACTGAGCTACCAGGTAACACTATTGTCTTTATTTTAAACATAAACAAATAAAAGTTCAGGATGACCAACTAATGCGTACAGAGGTGGTGAGCAGCAGAACCGGAAGTTAAACTTAGATTAGTTTCCAGAGCCCACCCTTTCTACACTATACCATTCTCCTTTTCTTGAGGAATGAGATGGAAGAAGAGAAAATGGACCCTAAGCTTGAAAAGATCCAGAAGGGCAAATCCGCTTTTCACCATTGTGATTTCTGTGTATCCGTAGTTTTATTCACTAGTGACCAAGACCCCGTTAGAAAGGTTTTCTTCAAGGATGGGAACAGGAAGGGATTTCTGGCCAATCCTTATTAAAAGAGGCTATTCATTTCAGTTTATTTTTCTCTGAGTCCCCACACTCTCTGCTCAGGAGTTCCAATTAATTAAGGTGTTACGCTGTTATCTTTTATGCGTAAATTCACTATTGGACAAATCATGAAGTTGTCTTCGAAATGTTGAGCTCTAAACCTTTCTTGCCTCCACCCAGATGTCCATGTGGAATAACAGAAAGTGTTCTTTATTTGTCCCTCACCCAAAGATGTGGTGAGTGTATGTGGGTCAATTCGTAAACCTACACAGACCCCTTGCTTAAAAATAAAAATTCATTTACTAAAAGGTAACTATGATCATAATCAGGTTTGGAGGTTCATTTCTAAAGTCTCCCTTAGCAACCAAAATTATTGGTATCTAAGGATCCACACTGATAAGCTGGAAAAACTCCAATAAGCAAATTGCATGCCAAACTTGAGAGTTAATTATTAACAAATTGATTCAAATGGGAAAGAAATAGTTTAGAGAGTTTGATGGAGTGTTCTTAGCCAAAAACTTCACTCACATTTAAAAGATATATTTTTCTTTTCATTATATGAATAATATTGTAAGACTTTTGGCAAATAAATAGAAGTTGTACATAATCTCATAATAACTCATTTTGATGCATTTTATTCTAGTCTTTTTCTTTTTCTTTTGGCTTGGGCAGAGTTCTTTAAAACATGTTTTAATTATCACATTCTTATATGCATCATAAGTATTTTCCCAAGTGGTTGTCATTGTAAGCTTTTAAGAAATAAAGTTAATTTTTCATTGTAAAAGTATAAGTGTTGTTTTTAGAAAAGTTGAACTATGATAAAAAAATAGAAAGAAGGAAACAAAATCATCTGTAGGCCCATCATCTATAAACTACTACTGTTAACATATTTTAGAGTGATTACTGACACTGCTTTATGCATGTTGTTGTTATTTATTTATTTTTTAAGATTTTATTTATTGGGACACCTAGGTGGCTCAGTTGGTTAAGTGTCTGCCTTCAGCTCTGGTCACGATCCCAGGCTCCTGGGATCGAGTCCCACATCGGGCTCTCTACTCAGTGGGGAGCCTGCTTCTCCCTCTGCCTGCAGTTCCCCCTGTTTGTGTTCTCTCTTGCTCTCTCTGACAAATAAATAAATAAAATCTATTTGAGAGAGAGAGACAGTGAGCAAGAGAGAGCGTGAGCAGGGGTTGGGGACAGAGCGTTGAGGGCCAGAGGGAGTTTTTCTTAATTGAAGTATAATTGACATACAATATCCTATCAGTTTCAGATGTACATCATAGTGATGAGATATTTTTATACATTACAAAATGATCCCCACCGTAAGTCTAGTTACCATCTGTCACCAAACAAAGTTATTACAATAGTATTGACTAATTCCCTATGCTGTGCCTTACATGCCCATGACTTATTTTTTTTGTAACTGGAAGCTTCCACCTGTTAATCCCCTTCACCTATTTCTCCTGCCCCCTCAGCTCCTACCCACTCTGGTAACCAACATTTTGTATCATGTTGATTGATTTGTGAATGTTACTTACTTTTCAATGGTGGCATAATCTCCACTGAGTGATTCCACTATAATTTTCCTAATCGTTCCCCTATTGTGGGAGTTTAGTTAGTTTATGAATTTTGGTGAATTTTCCCCCCCATAAGTTAGATCTCCAGACTTATAAAAACTGAGTCATGGGGCATATGTTGTTTTATGGCTATTCCTAAAGTGAGAGGCTTCTCTCTGAAAGTGCTTTTGTGAAGGGTGGAGTGTGGGTGTTGAACACAACAGCCTATAGTCTGTCTTCTAGCCCTTTCTCCACCTCCCACTTTTCCCACCCCTTCCATCACCTGCTGCACTCTTACAAATGAGCATGCCGGAGGTGTGTCCACTCTTGGTTCTTGGCTTTTCTGTATTTTCTGCTCTACACAAGGCACGAACTGGTTATCTCTTCCTTTAAACTTTCAACTTAGGCAAATAGTAGGTGGAGCTTCTCTTTCTTTCTGAGCCAAGAAGGATGACATTGCTCTTTGCTTTGTTTCGGAAGTTACCTCTGTTTGTCTGGAAAGCTTCAGAGCAACTGCTATCTCTCTGGTCGTCCCTCCTCCACATACACTCTCGCTCTCCTGTTGGGACCCTCACATTGGGCTCCTGGCCGTCACTGTCAAGGCTGGATTCTCTGCAGCTGATGCCCATAAACAATGGCTCTATTATGTGCCCTCAGGGATTATGAGGAAGAAAGTGCAAGAAGACATAAGTAAACATAAGTAAACCTGTGTGGGTTTACTTATTATTGTGTTTGCCATACCCAGAGGTTTTCATTTTTTGTGCTTCGTGCGCTAGTAATAGTAATGATAAAAGCTGATATTTGCAGAATTCTCATGGTATCCCTGGCAGGAAGGCGGTGTGGTCAGAACACCAATAACTTTCCAGCCACTTCTGGAAAAGCATCATCATCTCTGATTTCATATTTTACAACTCCCTTAACCTACTCAAAGGTTTGTTGGGAAGGTCACAGAACCTAATTCTAAACTGTGAAGTGATAATCAAAACAAAAAGATGTCATCATTGTAATTATCAGTGTTTTCTCTTCAACCATATGCCCTTAACAATCAAGGAGAAAGATATACTTCCTGGGGCACCTGAGTGGCTCTGTTGGTTAAGCGTACTACTCTTGATTTCAGCTCAGGTCATGATCTCAGTGATTGTGAAATTGAGTCCTGCATCAGGCTCCACGCTGGGTATGGAGCCAGCTTGGGATTCTCTCTCTCCCTTTCCCTCTGCCCCTCCCCTCCCAAAATAATACTTCCTGAACTACAATATTGATGAATTTCATTTTTTGGAATTATAGAATGAGTCAAGTTAGATTTCTTTCAGGGTACGTTTTGTTCATTTAAATGTTTGGGATAACCCCTATTATTTGTTTTAAGAAAGTGTAGAGCATATTCCTTGGTTTTCTTCACAAAGGACAGTTCTGTCAATGAAATCAGATTTTCTGAGTAAGAAGCAGATGACTACCATGCATTTAAATTTGAGGATCAATTTAAGTAAATGACTTTTTCTTTTTCATGACAAAACCAATGATAGCTAAAACATCACCAGCCAAAGACATGGAAGTTGAGTAGCTATAGTGATTATTATTTTTTTTTGGCATTTAATAAAACCCACATATACATGAATCTTCCCTTCTCAATGAGGCCTCATGTGTCCACCTTATTTAGTTCTAAAGTTTGTCCTCACTTTCCCCCAGGACTGCCTATCACCTTCACCCTGCTCTGCTTTGTGTTTTTTCCCTTTTGCTTTTTCATTACAGTCATTATAAAATAATACATAAATCAGTTATCTTTTATGTTTGTTATTTGTCTCCCCCAACTTAAATGTAAGCTTTATAAAGGAAACTATCTTGGTCTGTTTTGTTTACTGATGTATATACCAACCACCTGGAAGGGTGATCAGTACCTGGGAAGTGCTACCTATATTTGTTGCATAACCTCAATGAAAAGTAATTATATAAAGATATGAATGGTAGCTATATTACCATTTTTATACTAGCTAATTTTTATTAGCTAATTTTTACTGAGCATTTACCATGTACTTGGGGTTATGCATACACATGCCAACCAGTGCGCCCAACAAATTTATGAAGCAGGTATCATTAATACTGTTAAATTACAGATGGAAAAACTGAGCATTAGAAACATAAAAGTAAATTGTCCAATCTTACAATCCCTATGGGAACTTTGATTTAAACCCAATAAGCCTGATTCCCGGGGACCCTATTTAAGCTGGGCAATGTTGCTTCTGTATGATCACTTTACTGAGATATTACTGAGATTCCAAGGGATTTCATTTGGGAAGGAAGGTTTCCCTATATAAACATTTTTGCCAAACTGCTGCCCTAGGCATTTGAACCAAACCAAAATCTTAGGTTTGCAACTCTAGGCTTTTAGCAGATTTCCATGTGATTAAATTCTGTAGCATTTGCACTATTTCCCCCACCTTTTATTACTTGGTTTTGCACAGACAAGTAAACAACTTTTGTTACTTTAAGGACTTTCTTCTACTCTTTTATATAAAAAAAGTCCTGTTCCTCCTCTCTCTGCATTTTATTGTGTTGCGTGTTTTGCTCTGGTTTTATGTGTGTGTGTGTTTGTTTTTTCAAGTATGCTCCATGCTGGGCATGGAGCCCAATGTGGGCTCACAACTCTGAGATCAAGACCTGAGCTGAGACGAAGAGCCGGATGCTTACCCGACTGAGCCACCTAGCCATCCCTCTAGGTTGTGTGTTTTGTCTGTGTTAATTCCAGTGACTGTCCCCTTCACACTTCCACCTCTCTTTTCTAGGAGAATGATATAAACCTGACCCACATTGAATCCAGACCTTCACGTTTAAAGAAAGATGAGTATGAATTTTTTACCTATCTGGATAAAGGTAGCATGCCTGTCCTGCCAAACATCATCAAGATCTTGAGGCATGACATCGGTGCCACTGTCCATGAGCTTTCCCGAGATAAGACAGAAGACACAGGTAAGAAACAGAAGGATTTTGCAACACAAGCAACTTGACATTTTCTTCAGAAAATACTGGCAAAAATAGTGTCTAACCTGGTAGACCACTGTGGGGGACTAAGCTGGAGGAGGTATGTTAGGGACCCAGAGGTGTACCTACCACATTTTAGACATTTAATAAATGTGCTTTTTTCACTTCCTCAAGACAGCTATTTCTTATATTAGTAATTTTCTTTCTTGGCTGCAATTTTATATATTCTAAATTTTAGCAATCATGAATAAAGAAATTATGAACATTCATGGGCAGGGTTTTGTGTAGACATGAAATTTTAACTCATTTGGGTAAATACTTAGGAGTGTGATTGCTGAGATGAACTTTTTTTTTTCCTAAATAATCAAAACACTTTTTTCTACTATAAAATCAAGAGTTTTTTTTTTTGTTTGTTTGTTTTTTGCCACAACAGTGAAGACTTTGTGTCAAGAGAGTTTCAAGCTCTGTAGCTGAAAATAACATTTTAATTGGCAGAGATGCCTTAAAATGAGAGGACACCCACCTCTTTGCGCAGGCCACTGAAACATTTTCTAAAAGATACCCGCAAGGCCTTCCTAGGAGATCTCTCTTCTTTTTCTGCCCTCATCCTCCTTGGCTATTACCAAGACAAGGAAGTTTATTCCTGGATTCTGTCCCTGCAGAGCGTAGAAAGCCAAGCCCATGGGCTCAGGTCACTGAGGGGCAGGGACTTGGAATTCCTCCTCAGATCAACCCTATGTGCCTTCCTTCCCTTCCACCTCCTGAGCTGCTTTGCTGATGAATGCCCTCTCTTGCTTTTCCGGCCACCTGCTCCTAACAGGAGCTGCAGGCCCTCAGGACAAAGGGCCTGCCGGATCCTGGGGCAAACTCTGCCTCTGCTTGGAGCAGGTGGAGGCTGAGCCAGCTGGGGTCCTGGGGTAGGAAATCAAAGCAATTGATGAGCAGGCAGGCAGCTCCTTGGGGAGCCAGGGAAGACGTATGTAGATCAACTGAAGGGTGGGCAGCCTGAACTGGAGGCTCAGAAAGGAGGTTCTTAATGGAAACATGCAAGAATAGTTAGGAGTCCAGACTCTGGAACTAGGGCACACTACACTTGGTGTGACTTTAGGCAAATGACTACCCTTCACAATCTCCCACGGTATCAAATGAACAAGAGTCTTGTAGGATTAATGAAATAATGCCGGTGGAGCTTTGAGAACCACGCAGACGATGTTTAAGGGCTTAATAGATGTTCTCTATTCTTACCATTACCATCATTGTTATTATAAATCACGACCCCAGCACAGGAGCCATGAAAAGCCAGCCTGTACACAACAACTTTTTCAGAGATTCTGAGAACTGGCAAATGACCTCAGAGGTCGTGCAGTCCAACAGACTCCTTAATTTTTCATTGTAAAAAACAGAGGCCATGACTTGCCTTAAGGCACAGAGTGAATTCGGTGCAGTTGTGGGTAAGCCTGTGTCAAGCCCCACTCTGCACCAGGCATCGTGATAGGATCTGGGGGGAGAAAGGCTCAACACTACCCATTCTGATGGCGCTCACAGGCTGACAAGCGTGAGGAGACACCCAAGTGAATACAGTCCAGGGACAGGAGTTATAATGAGGGCAAGGTGATGGAATCTGGCAGGGGGTTGACATTTGAAACTGGGTTGACATTTGCCCTAGTGAAGACAACCCTGGTAGAACTAACCCTTGAAAACAACATGTGTCTCATTTTATTTATTCATGTGGTTGATCATCCCAGCCCCTACAGGCCGCCCCTCCCTGACACAGTTTCCTGACCCCCGTGTCCATGGAACAGAATGGTTGTTCAGGGTGCTAGCAGTGCTCAAACAGCACAGTCTCGCCCCTGCAGAGAGGGGCAGCTCTTTGGGTTTCTCGATTTTTTGAACTGGAGTCTGGGCCCCGAAACAGATCTTTCTGGGGAAAACAACCATCCCTTTGCAGAGTTGTTCTTTCCGCGGAACTCAGTGGGAGAATGATTAGAGGAAAAAAAGCATCATGGTAGATCTGAACCTTTGATTCTTTCGCTCCACAAAAATGCCCCTTTCTTTTGAGGGGCTCAGATCTGAGGAGTGAGTCTGACAGCAGGTTGAAGTGGGAGATCTGAACCCCTCGAATCAATTTGGCTAAACCACTTTCCACTCTCGTTTTTAAACCATTCAAAAGTCCATGTGGGTGATAGAAAATGAAAGTTTTCAGTTTCTTAATTGCTAAAGTTCCCCACCCAAAACAGCTTAAGGGAAGGTTAATTATGGTGACATGTTAAAGAAATCCCAACCTTCTAAAATGCCTCCTGGAGAAGCTGATGTGACTTTAATAGGATTTTAATCCAGAGTCTTTTGAATACTTGAGGTCTATTCTCTTGCTACCCTCTCTCCTGATGACCTCAAATCCTTCTTCAACCCAACATGAAAGAGCATTAATATCTTCCATCGATCAATCTACTAATCCTTTTACCTTTCCCTTTGAGTCTTCTGCATGACATTACGTTTAGAAGGGGATGGAAAATTCCTACATGGAGGCAGATTGCAGCCAGGAGAAGCAGACGGACAGAATGTCTTGGCTAGACGGAGGTATAGGATTATCACCTTTTGAGAAATTTATCCGATTGGAGTTATTTTCCAAGAGCAAATGGACATCTGGTGGATTTTGTTCAAGCTGTGGTAATTATAAGAGTCCTGCAGTGGGGGCAAAGGGTGTCCACCCTGCCAGTACAACTGTATTTTCTGTGGGGAACGGAAGGGCTATTTATCTATTTATTCATCTATGTATCTGTCTGTCTGTTTAGCTATGTTTCTATCTCTCTGACCTGGGGGCTCTTACAATTTTGCTTTTCCATTTGGATTGAATCCTGAAGCAGTGATGTAAGGGAAACAGTTATTGTGAGAAGACACGCTCAGCATCATGACACTCATTGCTTCCCCCTTACACACCCCTCCCTGCTGCCAGTCCTGTCTTCCAGCCCCCTTGCTGCTCCGGTGGTGCCACCCTGATGCGCAGGGCCCAGGTAAGGCTGAGGTTTCAGATCACCTGTCGGGGGACGAAGGCTAGAATTCCTTGGAGGAGCCTGGAAAGCCCCTGGGATTGTGGGCGAGATGGTACATATGCGTGTGCATGCAGATTTTTAGAGTGATTTTCAAAGGGATCATGGTTCCCAAGGAGCTGAGGACCCTTAGAGAGAAGCTGCTTAGGGCTGTAGGGGGCTCCAGATGGCTGGAGGGTTCCCCATGCCCACCATTCGTGCCCGCCTTTCCTCTCTCCCTTCCTCTGCTCCTATGTTCTGTGCTGCCCTCCCCCCTTTGTCCTCTTCTTGGTTCCAGACCTTCTGCTGTGCATCCCACTTTGCCCCAAGGGCACCTCTCAGGGCTGAAGGTGCTTGTTTGTGGCCCTGGGTCTGCAGGAGACAAAGGATCTGCATGTTCATAAAAACACAGGATTGACAGCCTTTTTCAGTACGCCTGGATGCTTGCTGGATGCGTTGATGTTGTCATAAGTCGTGACAGCTGGGGATGAGACTTTTGTCTCAGCAGAATGCCTCACTGGTACAAGCAGACCCACAGCTAAGAGGATAAGCCAAAGCAGGGGGTATGTACCAAGCCCGGAGCTAGAAGCAGAGCTGGTGTTGTTGGTATGGGGCTCACTCCTTTGCAGTCTGTTAGAGGCAGCTCTATTCACTGGTGAGGGAAGATCCAGGGCAAATGTTATTTCTAGAGCCCAGTCCATTTGCCAGGTCGCAGGGCTTCAAGCTAAGGAAGATCATAAATTTATAAGCAGACTCTGTTTCTAAGGGGGATCCGTTATTTGCATTCCCAATCCAGTGTTTTCAAAGTTCTTTCCTATTAGGTTGTTTTCATTTAAGCTTTGCAACAGCCAACTCAGATAGCTGGAGCAAGAAGCTAACAGTTCTCGTTTTCAATATAAGACACAGTGCTCCTTTGGAACAATGAAGATTCCACAATCCATACGGCCCTTCAAGTTTACCCTGTCAAATACCTTTTCTCTGTGTGACAGATGTGATAGGAGGTGATAAGAGAATATGAAATGATTGTAACAATGTTGATTTGCCATTCATGTTGGGTTGAGGGAGCATGATAGCGATTCAGAAAAAGCCATGAATTTAGAGCCAAGAATTAGGACTTGGACTCCTATTCTGTATACTGCCAACCAGATTTGAATCCCATCTTACCCCCTGACAGCTGGGTGACCTCATTATCTCTTGTTCCTCATATGTGAAATAGAACTAAGACCAACTTGGCCCCTTTCTAGGGCTTATGAGGAAGGTCATACAAGATACTCTGAAGGTTATGGTGTTTGATAGATTGAGCTTGCTTGAGTTGAATAGCCCTTGAATTTAGACATCCATAAGCCTCAGTAGGGAGGGGCTCTATGATTCACAACACCAGCCAACTATTAGGCTATTTGACACCACCAGCTGCGTGGATATGGACACTGACCAGGCTAACATATAGGGAGTTGGTGGCAGCCACACCCTCACTGGGTCCAACTTCACCTGGCAGGTGGGGAGACAGCTTCATGTGTGGGATGATGTGAGGGGTGCTGGGAATGACCTATCAGTTCCAAATATTACTTCCTGTGAATGTGCTTTTGATGCCTACTCTTATCCGGTTGGCTGTGTGTTATACGGGAAATGGTACTGGTCTAAAAGACAGAAGGCCGTCTTCTCATGCAGCTTCCTTCCTTCTTCCTCTCTCCCTCTCTTCTCGCTTCCTTCTTTCTTTTCTTCTCCTCTTCCTTACCATTCTGGCAACACCCATGACCCAAACCAGTATCCTCTTTTTTGTTTTCATTCTCTTTGAAATTTTTGCAGCATTTAACTATGGATTAATCATTTAATCCATGATACCCCTGGAATTCTCTCTTTCCTTAGTATTTTATAAATTATGTGGCTCTTATTAAAATACTGACTCTTGAGGGTTTCTTTCTTTTTCCTTCACTACTCCTTCTCAAAGACCATAGTCAGCTT